CGATTCATAGCTGCACTTTGAAATATTGAATATGTGAAATTATTATAATTCGCTTAATTAATCATGGTTTTTTTGTTAAATTAATCTATATTGAATTTTTAAGAAATTGTAGAAAGAGCACTGACCTCATGACCTGTATAATACAGGTCAGTGAATAGTGGCCATTTATAAAGCAACGGTAGTACTGGTCGTGGACCATGCCGTTGCAACGACAGTTATATAAATTAATCGATTACCTTTAACGTTGCGACTTGGTTCAACAGCCGATCCGTGAAGAACGACGAGAAGTGCAATTTGTCTCTCACTGCTTGTGGTAATTGGTGTATGTACTATGCTGCCTAAATATTTACATTGTGAATGAAAAAAAACTTGCAATTTTTGTAATCACATATTTTTATATGCGTTCTGTAGAAGACCATTTGAAATTTTCAAGTATAAATATATAAAATAATAGTTTCTAGGAGCAATGAAGGTCCTAAGTAACTGCGAACTATACGTTGAACCATAAACTAATAAGAGTACTAACGTACGTTGAACTCATTGCTGATCACAAGCACAAATCATAGATAGGTTCTGTTCTTAGATAGAGAAACCTATAGACTAATGATCGGCGTGGCCTCAAGTGAGAAAGGACGATAACGAATTTTTAGGTTAACCTCTAAGATACCGTAGACATGTTGACAAGAATGTTGAAGATTCACCAATCTTAAGCTCACAAAACACTTTTTACTCACTTAAACCAACTTGTAAACTCCTTAAATCGCTACGCTGTTAAAGTTGTTAAAAAACCGGCACGGAGAAAGGGACAAACAATCACACCACTCTATCTCATTTCTATGCAAGACGTATGGTATGCATAAATCTATCTTTTTCGTGTGCGAATGCGAAAGAAGGCGTCAATTTGTCTATAGGTTTCTCTGTCTACGGTTCTGTTGTTGTTACGATGCACCAGTTAAGGCAGATAAAGGTCTTAAGTCTTACAACCTAATTTGTAAAACGCATTGCGTTTTATTTACAAAATTCTTCACATTAAGCTGATGCGTTACATTGCGAAGTTTTTCAAAGATTTTAACATCAGCTTAAACCAGCGACAGTGTCCGCGACTTAGGGTGTTTTACGATAACTTATTCTTGATTCCTAGGGTATTTTTGGGATAAAGATTTTGTAAGGTTTTTTTTATAAGAAAAAATTGTTTGTTTAATTAAATCATCGAAGAAATCGAAAGACAAAGTGGAACGTTTGCTTGGGAGGAACGGAACGCAGGATATAATAAAATCATGTACTATTTTTGTCACAGTTTACACCATTGAAATTAGAGAGAAAGAGAACGATCGCTATAGAAAATAGTGTCCCAGAAATATGGATAAAATAAGTTAGGCACTGCGATCGCTAAGTTGTCACAATAAAAGCAGTCTGTTGTGCGCTAGTTTGAAATGATCTATCAACGTTTAATCTACGTTTATATATCATTCAAAGAAAAATAAAAGAAAATAACGAAATTATATAATCTCTGCTGGGAGCTACACGTGCACAATTCTCTAAATATGACCCATCCTCACAATTAACGTAACAGTTTCGCGCCTTTTTTAACATTCGATTTGTTATTAAAAAAAATTGTTAGATGGTAATAATTTGAGTTACTTTTGCGTTTTATGTTAATGCTTGTTATAAACAATATTATATTTCCTCTTTTAAGGTAACATGTATCGAGATAGTCAACGAATTTCGTCAATTCTTGAGGAATCTCACTCAGACGAAAACTTGTCTCACCTGAGTATTTGTAGTCAGGCAAACGATTCAGTAGGTTCATTAAGTGATGACGATAATGTCCCGCTGAGTGAAGTTAGAATGGAGGAGCAATCCAGCGCGCCTTTGCTGCAATAAGAGCCAGAAACATCTTCATTGCGTACAGTTTGGTTTAACCCTTCAATTCCCATTAAATCCGATGCAGTCGCATGCGTCCGTCAAGCCCGAGCGGTCGCATGCGACCGCACCCACCCACAGCACTTTAAGCCATTAAAACTTATATTTAGAGACTACTTATTCAGGAAGAAGTTTGGCATTATAAAATCTATACAAAATTCTCTACCCAGTAGTTTAAACAAAAGTCAGGTTTTAATTCATTACAAAGAGATTTTATTGTATTTTGATAACAAAAAAAAATACCAAGCGGATGTCGGCAGCGTGAAAATGATTATTATTTCTATATATTACTCGAAATTGTTTACGTAAAAAAATAAATTATATTCACACAAAAACTTTCATACCAATTTTATAATAAAACACGATACTAAAACACTAATAAAATACTAGAAAAATCCAAAAATAAACACAACAAAACACAATAACATTCACATTAAAATGGCGTACGTAATGTGTGGATAACACTAGTAGTAGACTTTTTATTGCATTAGAGAATAGAAAATTTCATATTGAGCCTATAATGCTAAACTTCTTTATAGAAAAGTAGTCTAACTATAAGTATTAAAGTGATGTGGGTGGGTGCGGCCGAATTCGGTCACTTGGTATTTGACGAAATATTGCTGCGATCGAATTCGGTCGATTGGTAGCTAAGAGGTTAAAACACCTTTTCGGTGCAATGTGAGGAAGATGGCAGAAAATATAATCACACAGTTGCCAGGTGTGACACGAGAAGCTAAGTTTGCTACTTCTGAGTTAGAATGCTGGGGCTTGTTCTTCAGTGTATGTTACAAAAAATTATGACTTACACACATGCATGCATTAGACGCAAAATGGCGTCGTGTCAGGATTTCTCGAAGCACACCTATATGAAGGAACGTAGTATAACAGAACTCAAAGCTTTAATTGACCTCTTATATATTGCCGACTGAGTGCACTCAAGAAGACCAAATCTGACTGACTTATGGGCTTCTGATGGCAAAAGTGTTGAGATATTTGGACTAGAGATATCTGAACAGCGTTTTCACTTCATACAAAGCTCACTCTGTTTTGATGATGAAACTACTTGTGAAGGAAAAAAGCAACTTGATAACTTAGCTTTGATAAGAGAACTACTTGAAAATTTTGTTGAAAATTGAAAAACTGTACATCCTCGGTGACTGTCTAACTATTGATGAAATCGATCGCTTTTAGAGGTCATTGCAGATTTCGACAGTATATATAGAAAAATATAGAAAAATAGTAAAACTAATATGTTTAGTTTTATATACCTAGTCCGGCCATAAGTTCTGTTACAAATGAAAATGCATTTTTAATGAAGTAATGTAATATTACTAAAACTTATATATACATATTTATTAAAGTCTCAGCAAAAAAGAAAAACAATATTCTATTCAAATGGCCACCTTTTTTACGGCTTTTATACAGGCATTTAATCTGTCTAGCCACGAATCTATGGATTTTGGCACTGTTTTCATGGGAAATTTTGCCACTGCTTGCTCTGAATATTTGTATCCACAGGTACGATATCAAATGCACGCCTGAAATAATGTTATAGTATAAATAAACAGCTATACCGAGATGAAAATACCATCAAAACCAGCAAAGTGTGGTATAAAGATAATAGCTTTGGTAGATACTAAAGGTTACTATATTTTGAATCTTTCTATATATTCCGGAAAACAACCCCCTGGTCCATTTGCAGCCAGTAATAAACCTTTTGATATTGTGGATCGCATTGTGACACCTATTTCAAAATCAAACCGCAACGTTATATTTGATAACTAGTTTACCAGTTATGAACTGGTCCAGCACCTGCTCAAAGAACATCGGTTAAAATTTGTTGGTAGTTAGCTACCAACCAATGTTAACCGAATAAATACCAGGAGAAATTTGCCTTTTATTCCTAAGAATTCCTCCTGAATTCATTACAACTCCTAACGCCGAGGTATTTTCATCTCGGTTTGGATTCCAAGACGATATCACTTTTGTTTCTCATGCCCCAAAGAAAAATAAGTTTTAATGATATTAAGTTTGCACCATTATAATAAAATTGATGATTCAACTGAAGAACGACGTAATTCCGAAATCAGCACCAACTACAATACAACCGAATATGGAGTAGATGTTGCCGATGAGCTCTGTGTAACATATAGCGTGGGCCGTAATTGCAAGAGATGACCTCTTACCATATTTTATGCTATATTGAATATGTCTGGGACTAACGGTGTTATAATAAACCGAATAAATAATAATAAACCTTTAGAAAAGCAACGTCATTTCTTGAAAAACTTGGGTATGGCTCTAGTGAGCGATCACTTGAGAAAGCGCAAGAATTTAGATCGTTTGCCACGAGAAATACGTAAAAAATAAAACAATTTGTCGGTAAAACTTAAGAAGAGCCTCCTGCAAAGATACCTAATGCTCGTAAAAACTGCTAAGTATGCCCTGCACAAAAAGATCATAAAACAACGCACACTTGTCAAGGTTGCAACAAATATAGTTGTCCTCAGCACATCGTATTTTTCTGCAGTGATGGTGTAAACAATGACGATTCAAACTAACTTTTTTATACTTAATTTCAACGAATTATTAGTAAGATATATTTTAAGTGTCCTTTGTAACCAAAAATACTGTTAATATGTAAGTTAAGTGATGAAATTGTAAGGGATCACAATTTTGTTAACGTTTTTGTGACTTTATGGAAAAGCTTAAAAACCTAGAATAAACGTTTGATAAATATAAAATTTATTCTTTTATTTTTAAGTCAGGGTACTAATAGATCATATAATAAGGAAGATAACCGAAAATTTGATTAAAATAGAAATATCACATTTTCTATAATATACGGGTCATATTGACCCACCTCAACGTCCGTGTTACAATTTTCTACCACAATGACGCCGGGTAACAAAGTAAAATATGGCTGAAGGATATGTAGCCACTGCCATATTAAATGAGAAAGTAAATTAAAAAAAACATACGTAAACATTAAAAATGGGTTAGAAATAGTGATCAATTAGCTAAAAAGAATTTTATATTCACTGTAATACAAGATAAGTGGTAAATCAGTTTCCATTATGGACGAAGATAAATTTGCTTTAGTAGAGAGAATAATAAAAGATATTCATCTTGTTTTAGCCAAAATCGCTGAGTTGTAAGTATCGATATCAAATAGGCAGGTTTTCAATCAAATAAGCAGTAAAAAATTTAATGACAGTTTTTGTTTCGTATTTTTAAGTATAGCTATTTATTTATACTATAATATTATTTCAGGCGTGCATTTGATATCGTACCTGTGGATACAAATATTCGGAACAAGTCGCCTGTTTTACATTTAGAGAATTGCCTTGGTCTTGAGTCTTGGTGCATTAAACATGTTTATATGTACAGCTATTCTGAAATCATTGATAGATACTGTACTAAGGGCAGACGCAAAACTTTTAACGTATCTTTGAATTCAGAGCGTTTGATAAAATTACTGAATGTTACATTATTGCTTAATCCTGAATTAAGTCTATTTTGGAATAAAAGGCGCATGCTGGTTTTAAAATGTTTATTAGATAAATTTTATGAGTTACATTTCACAAGACTAATTTTATCAAGAAAACCAAAGTGTAATGATGCTTTTACATACAGAAGATGGCTTTTAGATATTATGTTTAAAGGTATGAAAAATTTTTTGTTTGTACTTTCTAAAAGTAAGTAAATTTATAGAATATTTTAAGTGCCACTGCTGGCAATAGGTTCCTCTCATTTCATATTGGCAATTGCAATGAACAATTCCATTGGTGCCACCGAGGATTAAATTCACATTGTTTGTAAATTCAAAAAAATAAATAATAATAAATTTCACAGATTTACGATGAGTTAGATACGATTTATGATAAATGACTTATCTCCTGATCTACTGCTGCTTACATTTTGCTATTTATTTTAAATTATTTTTAAAATTAGATAAGTTCAGTCATTTGATTTTGTCTTCATTAATAACGTCCTCCACACCTAATTTCGGACATATACTAGGCTATTCCTAACAGAGACTAGCTTTATATGTAGTACAGGATAATAAAGCTTAAATGTTACAAGCACAGGTGACTCAAATAGCTTAGTAAGATTCTCCGTTATGCCGAAAATATTGCAGCATTAATTTTGAAATAAATGTATGGTAAAGTTGAGGATTAATGTTAAGTACTATGTAAGACGAAAATAAGATTTCATAAAATTTTCTCAATAGAAAAAAATCCAAAGTTACCTCCAAACTGAACAATAAACCGCTGGTATTCATAAAATACTTTAAATTAGATCATGAAACTTTGCATACTAACTTAATTAATTATTTTTTAATTACCATTATTTTCTCTGTAAAAAGAAATTACCTAAACTATCGGTGCCTGAACCTTGTTCTCTGCCGCCTGATCAGTTTTGCTTCGCCTTACAAACAGGAAAGCTGTGTCGCTTATGATCAGAATACACATTACGCAAGAGGACGATATAAAATTAAAATGGGAAATAACCGTAATAAAAATAAGAAGCGACGGGGGTGGCGTAAAGAAACAGGCATAAATATGATAAACATAATACATACATAATACATAAACACTCACGCCTGTCACCCAGAGGGGTAGGCAGAGACTACAGACTTCCATTTGGCACGATCCTGACACACCTCTCTTGCCTCCTTCACATCCATACACCTACGCATACATGCTCGTCGGTTAAGGGTACTCCTAATTTGGCCCGTTTTCAATACATCGCCAATTTGGTCGATAAATTTTCGCCTAGGACGTCCCTTTCCGACTCTGCCATTCACTTCTGCGCCATAAATTTTCTTTGTCACTTTTTCCTCATTCATTCTTTCCACATGACCAAACCACCGAAACATTCCTTTCTTAATCACAACATCATCTTGCAAACCACACTCTTCTCTTATTACACAATTTCTTACCCTGTCATTCAGATTCAGCCCTAACATACTCCTTAACGACCGCATTTCTACTGCGTTTATTCTACTCTCGTGCTTCTTCTGCCACACCCAACTTTCACTACCATACGTTAAAGTAGGGACCAACACAGCATTGTGAATTGCCATACGTGCCTTTTTCGACACATTTTGACTCTTCACAATAGAGTGCAAGGCCCCATTTACTCTATTTCCCGCATTCACTCGTCGTTCTATATCCTTATCATATCTCCCATCCCTGCTAAATACGCAGCCCAAATATACAAACACATCTACTTGCTCGATCAACTCCCCTTCTATTCTTATTTCACAAATCGTTTTACTTTCTTCTCTTTCAAAAACCATAACCTTCGTCTTACTTGCGTTCACTTTCATACCCCTTTCTTTTAATGATCCGTTCATTAATGTAACCATCATTGCAACTCGGCCGCCGACGACGCAAGAATAACTTGATCATCGGCGTACAAAAGGCATTTGACGGTTAACTCACCCATTCTTAATCCGACTTCAACTTCAACTTCAGGCTTCAACTTCCATACGTATCTCATCATCCCACCATAACGTATTATTTTTCCTTTCATTCTTTCTCTTACTAACACCACATACTTCGGTAGCTGCATCCACTAACCCTTTCTTTACATTTTGCCATATATTCTCCAAGTCTAACTTCTTCATACATAATTCATCCAAACCACTTATATTTTCTTTCAGTCTATATTTGAACTTGTTTTTATCACTTTCATCTTGTAACCTTTCTGTTGTAATACGCTGTAACGCAGTGGTAGACACAGACAATCGATGGCGTCAACGCCTGAATAGACCATTAATTCGGCATATGATAAACCTAATGAAATAAGTGTCTAACGACCTATCTACTTACAGTATCAATGATTACAAATTACAGTATCAGTGATTATTTATTGGTACATAGCATACGATGAGCGGGGAAGTGGGAGCAAAATTAGAATTTGAGCTGATGTAGTATAGGCCCTTAATTATTAGAATAGCTCCACATAAAAAATCAAATGAGTCCCCATATGTTGCTAATTTTTAATAAATTTTGCTCTATGTTTGTGGGTCCCTAAGATATATATTATGATAGATTTGGACATTAAACTGGGATTGCGACTTATAATGTAAATTTTAATATGGTTACTAAAGAAAATAAATAATACCACTCATTTAAGGAATATAATTAAAAAGAAATTGTGTATTTTGTTTAGTGTCTAAGGACATACTTTTCTGCAATTACTTTATCTATGAAGTTTAATTTAGTTAACTTAGATAACTTTAGTTAGCAATTTTAATTTAGAATAAAATGTAGAAAGTGCAGTTACGTCGAAGTATAATATAAGTTTCTATGCATTTGGTTATTTTACTTCAAATGCATTCAAGTTTGATTTTATTGTTAATTTTTTTATCATTACACTATATTTTAACAATATAATAATTTTACATGACATTGTTATATTAACTTCAGTAAAAAACTAAAACCTAAAATTATCGTATAGTCCTACTCCCTGTGGTGTGGTGCCAAGACTGCTGACTGGATTTCCTCTGAATTAGCTTTTTAATTACTGAACGAACAACACAGTTAATTTTCTTAAATTTGACAATGTTAAATACTAATAATTTTCTACTTTCAGATGATTCATTGCAAAACAACAACATTCAGGATATCATTAATGAAGAATTGAACATTTGCACTTTAGCCTCAGATAAAAGTCCAAACAATTATCACAGTTGGAACCATCGTATTTGGTTAATTAACAAATTAAAAACTTTAGAGAAGCAATTTAATGTGCATTATCAATATATCAAAGAATATAATTTTTCTGAACAATGGATAGCCAAGAATGTCTCTGATTATAGTTGTTGTCATTATCGACAATTTTGTATTAAAAATGTCTATTTACTCAATGATGAATTGTGGATAAAATTCACTAATTCCGTCAATCTTGATTTAAGAAAAGTTTTTGTTAGAATTCTTGCTGCTAACTTTCCTAAGGACTCTACAATTCAAGTTTCAGAAGATGATTTATTGACTTATTCAGAAAACAACTTGGTTAACTTGCTATTGTTTCATTCTGTTAAGAAATGTTACTGCATCTTAGATAATGTTTTAGTATGTCGAAAGTTAGAAATTTTATTCCATGAATTAGCATTAAATAATGAACTGATAAGATTTTATAAACATCATGAGACATTATGGTATCATAGGCGGTTTATCATTCATGAAATAGTTGGTATCATTTATGAACATTTTTGTTTAACTAAAAGTAATGGCTCATTAATTAGAAATACCTGTAAGAAATGTACATATGATGATGAAAGACAGAAACAAGCTAAAATGGTGCGGTATGACAGTAACTGTATATATTCTAGTGTGCTGTTCACTGTTCTACTTTCTCATGAGAGAAAATTTGTAGAGGAAATGAGAATGAATTTGGATAACTATGCTGATCGTCATGAAAAATACCTCAAATTTGTTGAAGGCTTCAGTAATATTATGTAATGTCTGTAACAGCATTAGGCTACGAAATAATTAATTTTCCTATATTCATATTATGCAATTATTCAAACAGGTATTAATCTACACTACAAGTACAAAGCAAATAATCTACGCAGTATAAAACAAAGTCACTTTCCGCCGTCTGTATGCTTAGATCTTTTAAACTACGCAACGGATTTTGATGCGGTTTTCTTCAATAGATAGAGTCATGCAAGAGGAAAATTTATTTCTATAAAGTAAAGTTACAGCCTATATACGTCCCACCGCTGGGCACAGGCCTCCCCTCATTTCTGAGAGGGTTTTAGGGCAAGGAAGTGCCCGCCGCGCTGCCCCAATGCGTGTTGGCGAACTTCACATGTCTTCGAAATATTTTTTTTTCTTATTCCTCAGACATGCATGTTTACTCACGATGTTTTCCTTCACCGCCGAGCACCTAGTAAATCAGCACTTAAAATTGCAATTAATAATTTCATTGGTGCCGGCGGGGATTCGAATCCAGGTTACTCGCGTTCTGTTATATTTACAGCGAGCGTTAACCACCTGAGCTACTACGGCTCTATATATATATATATATATATATATATATATATATATATATATATATCATATGCATATGTTGTGGAGATCTAGAAATCATCCATTGAGAAGGATCGCTAGTAAAAATATTTAGATAATTGAGTTTGTAATGGAAAGTTTGTAAAGAATTTTCGTCAATATATTTAGTAGTTACTTTGCTTTGTATTTGTATATCTTAAAATTTTCTTCAGATATTATCTGTTGAAATTTCAATCCAAAAGCATTTTCGCCATCAACATCAAAGCTTTTAAATCAAAATCCAGACATATAGTTTTATTATTACTACAAACAGATTTTTTAAGAATAGGTTTTGTTAAATTAAAGGAATGTTATATTTTATTTTATATTTTAAAGGCAAAAACATGAAACATCTCTTTTATTTATATTAATTATATGGACGATAATTATGTTATTGTCTTGTGACATGTGGTGGTGGCGTAAGATAATAAAACACCCAATTTCTACCAGTGGGTGTCGTAAGATATGATGTCGGAAGATGTGGGTGACCATGGGATATGCAAGGAAGATCTTATGGCTTCCTATATATGGCGGAATAACTATATTGTTTTATATTAGGCATAAAATAGCCATACTGGCGACGGAAAGCGTCTTCAAAAATGCGAGAAGTCTGGTACTGCAATTAGATCGTAAATCCGTCTGCCGAGCGTGACGACTTAGGCAAATTATTCTTAGAACGGGAAAGAACCATGTTTAGCAGAAAACTTATAGGTTCAGTTTGAAAAAGATGTTATGGTTTTTAGACCAAGAAAGGAAAGGAGTTTCTCTAAGAAATGTTTAAAATGGCTTTGTCTATGATTAAAATGATTTAATTTATAAACATTATTTTATTTACAATGTGTGTTGTGTAGACCAGCTAGCAATAAAATTTCTTAGTGGGGAAATTATATGTTTTCTCTTTTATGCAAAATAATATTATAGTTTGCTATTGAACTTGTACTATAACTACTAAACAGTGGAGAAGATTGTGATACAACATTATTCTTATAGATAAGTTTGCTTTGTTGTGTTTTATTATAATTATGCATATCTATATTAATTTATTAAATATTTATAAAAGAAGTTTTTGTTTCAGTTAGGACCTGTTAAAGATGAAGAATGTCTTTTATTACTATCCTTTAAACTTCGAAAAGAAGGTTCTCGAATGCATGCTCTTTTAACTTCGAAAAGAGGGTTCTCGACTGCATGTTCTTTTTTATGATAGTTTTGTTAATTGTGAACCGATTTTAACTATTTTTTCCATTTAAATTTGGAAAATTAATTTAACTCCGAAGGCTGCAGGAGTGAAGTTTTTAACGAAACTATTTAGACGATATGCTAGTTGTTACCTAATGCTTACAGTGTGACTTTATTAGTCCACTCAAAAGGGTTAAAAATTAAATTATTAATAAAAAGGAAAGTCGACTTCAAAGAACTAAAATGGATAAAATAATTTTCATATTATAGCTTGTGTCATTTTCGTTTATATATTATGCCTTAGTAACGACTACTGAAGCTGTTATAGTATGTGAAAATTGTATTCTTTGAGCCGACTATGAATCTGTTTATACTTTTCTATTAAAAATTTAATTCTTTAAATATTGTTTAGTCTCATTTTTTCAGTTCTCGGCATTCCTCTATTGCAAAAAATCTATTCTCGGCATTATTGTTACATTGAGTCTTCCCAATTTAGGAGTATTTGGCGATTGAGTAACGTTTCACGGTAGTTTGTGGATCATTTTACTATAAACCTTGCACGTTAGATTATTCAAAAAAAAATTATGAAAATTTTTGGGGCTTCTTAATCCGTCACATCCCTAGTCAGAGACTAGTTTCAATGAAACTGGATGTGACTTTCTAAGGAGTTTTTCATTAGTCGATAACTTGTCACATTATACGGGGACTTCCAGGATAACGACCAATGAAATTCAATGGCCGATATCATAGATAAAGTCTAAATCGATATCCGTCACTTCCCGGAATGCAATGCGATCCCCTCTTTCTTCACGTCAGTCACGCATGAGATATGTCTACACACTCAAAGCAACTGGTACATGTGGGATTTCGTATAATCTGCAAAGTCCATATAAAAAGAGTAGAAATCTCGTGTACTGATTGAGTATCCCTATCGACCAATGAAAACTTTTTTCGGACCTTATGGCATACGTTTTGGAAAGCTCACGCAAGCCGAACGCGTTCCCAGCCAATGAAAATTAGCCCCTTTTTATAATTGTGATAAACCTTAGTTTAGATTGTGGATCGTGAAGTGACGGGCAGCGAATGGGCAGCAGCGTCTTCCAAACACCAACTGGCAAATAAAAAATCAGTCGCCAACCAGCCTGTCAGGCGTAGCAATTGTGGCAGAGGGGGGTTACACTTATGAGGCTACCTATGTTGAGGTCTTATGTTCAGCAGTGGACTTTGATAGGGTGTAATGAATGAATTTTATGAAAATTACCTGAATTGGCACACTTAGCAAGCGGAATAACGCTCGTAGTACCAGATATCTCGCAGCAGCTTTTTTATGGTTGTGGGACGAATGCTTGATCGGGGAAGTACCGCACACAGAATATCTATCAGGGTAAAATAGCAGCTTAATGCTGCTGTGTTTCGTATGTTGAGTGTAGAGACCCGGACCCTTTTTACTGGAAGCGAGGCGTTCCATTTTAGCCCTCAGGGGTGCAACGCATCTGTATTATGATTCTTAATCGAGGATAGTTGTAAGCGTCCACTTATCAGGTGAAATGTGTACTGTGTGTGTATAAAAATATAATAATTTCTTTACACTACACTACATAGATAAAAACGAATTTTTGGGATTTTAACTTGTTTAATTTTAAATAATAAAATTAGACGATAAAATCCGTTTTATTCCATAAAAATTGTATAACAAGATACGCTTCTTCGTTGACACATTGGAGATTTCCAAAATGTTGTCACAGAGGACTATTGACAAGAAAGCCCACTCCGTCTTAGGAAAATCATGTCTCTCGGAATAGTAGAGTAGATGGCTGGGATTTGTACATGGGAAAGACCTCCCTTTTTTTGAACTTCACTTAATCCCAAAACGTAAATTTTCCATCTCTACTTAGTGCTGTAGGGTTCTTCTATTACAATTACCCAGGTCCAGCTTGTAGTGGTATTTGACCTCCCAAGGATTCTCTGCACCGCCTGTCCAAATGTTGATATGACCATCAAGGAATATTCAATGTTATTCAATCAACTGAAGACGGTTATGTAAGAGGGACGGCCAGGAACTGGAGGCTGTTTTTTATGGTGCTTATAGTTGGGTGGATTTGTCCTTAATTGTTTGCTGGGCAAGCAGGTTGGCGATCGCAGTGTCAGACACGTCGCAACGGCGACACTGTAGAGCCCATCAAAGATTGAATATTTGTGGCCTGGCAAAAGAACTAAGATGGTTATTTCGCCATTGGTCGGATGCCAAAGCTCATTGAAGTGAAAACTTCTTTAGAATCAGTGTGACTTGAAACTCGATGAAACGAAAAAGCGACAATAAAAAGAGACAAACATCCTACATCTATAGGATTTAGCCTGCGAGAGAATGAGATAGAATACAGAATACATTGTTTCCTATTATCTCGGTCTCCTCTGTGTTCTAAAGATGGTAAATATAAATTTTGTGTATGTGAGCACAGCAATGATTTGCTAAGGATTTAGTAGTAGGCCTTAAGCAATTGTAGAACGAAACCTGGTATTTGTAAAAGAATATATAAAAAATTACAGCCATTAAAGTGTGGTCCCTCAGTTCACACAGTCTATCAACAAGATTTCAGAAAGTATCTTAAAAATTAAAATAATGTGATGACAGGTATTTGCTAAAGAATTTGTAAAGCATAGTTTACTAAGTAACAAGACAAAGTGTTAAAGACAAAAGAAACAAATATCTAAATTGTGGTCCCTCGGTACACACAATTTTTTTTTATAAACTTGTGAAAATTTCTTAATTAAATAATTTAAATCGTAATTCTTTCATGTCAAAGTTTTAGTAGGCCTTGAGAGAGTTTGTAAAAGAATAAATATGAATACACATTGGCGCGATTGAAAGATAGCTGGTGTTAAAACTTTTTAAAATTAGTGTAGATACAAGTAAATAAGGCTTTTATTTGAAATTATCCCTAATTGAATGTGATTTATGTGCGTACGCAGTAAAATCAGTTAAAATAATGCATTACCACGCATTTTGAATGTAAAAGATAAAAAGGAATTTCTTATATCTTTTACTCTTTATATTTTTTTACTTATTTAAAATAAGCTTTATAAATTCTTTACTAAATATCTGTCATCACATTAAATTCATTTTTAGGATACATTCTGAGATCTTGCTAATAGACTGTGAACTGAGTGACAACACTTTAATGGCAGTAACTTTTTATATGCAAGTTCCATGATTGGTTTTACAATTATTTTAC